GGGTGGATGGACGGATGGAGGGGTGGGTGGGTGGATGGGCAGGTGGGTGGGTGGATGGAGGGGTGGTAAATGGATGGGTGGGTATATGAATGCATAAGTAACCACTTATGCTTACAAAACCTGGATTCTAAAATACTTTAGTTATATCTGAGGACAAAGTTTAATAAATGAAAATATTCTTAAAATTTTTAACTTAAAAAAATCAGTTTTCATCAGGTGGCTGCCTACTTTTCCAGGGCAGGACTGGGTTGGGGGTTTGGAGACTGGGTTGGTCTTTGAAGACCAACGGAGCAGCTCCACGCCTTCCCAGACGTCGAGAAGCCAGAGGCTCAGCCAGCCCCCAGCCCACCCCTACCCGGCTCTCCCACCCTCGGCTCTCTGCTCAGCCCCGCTCTCATACATCTCTTCGTGTGCACCTCGTGTGCAGACATGACCCACAGAGGCTGGAGCACGGGCTCCGACCTGCACAGAGCAAACACACGCAAGGTCTCAGAGCCAGGATTTGAACTCGGCTCCATCAACCCGGCTGACCCTATTCCACAGCTCCTCCCAAGGCTCTACACTATTCTAGGGACTGCCCTCACTCCGTGCTCCCCAGCAACCTCCAGACCACTCCTTCTCCCGAGAGCAGGTGAGCAGGATCCCGGGCCCCTGTGCAGACGTCGATGCCACAGCACCCGCCTGCACCTGGTGCAGGGGGTGCCGGGAGGCAGGCGGTCGGAAAGGCAGCTGCTGGGGGTCTGTGCTCGCAACCCAGGGCGTGTGTCCCAGCTCACCGGCCCCGCACGGCTCTCCCTCCCCCTTCGTCGTTGCACTGCCTCAAACAGGAGAACCACCTTTACGTGAACCCGAGAAATAACCCTGCGAGTCACTCAGCCAGGTGCCAGAGGTCCCCCAGGAGCCCAGCCCCGAGCACGGGCCCGTCATGGGAGGGAAAGAAAGATGGGGCAAGTTACCTGTATTTGTAGGTTTGCTTCTGGATTTTGACCATCAGAGGGGTCTCATTTTTTATAAACCAGGGCTCTTCATCCTCAGCAAATGGAGGAATGTCATTAAGGAAGATTTGGGCATCTAATTCTTTGCGGAAAGAGCAGGTCATGGGCAGGTGGCTGTTGTCGGTCGAGTAAATGTGCATTTCTGGAGGCAGAGTCAGGTCATCGTTCAGAAGAAACCGCTTATAGTCGTAGCAAAAGGGGTCCTGTCCCTCCGGCTGGTCCCGGTCCACCTTCTCCTCATCCGAGAGGCTGAGTCTAGCAGGAGAGTGAGTGAGGAAGCCCGAGTACTCGGGGTAGCTGTGGATGGAGAAGCTGCGGGGAACCTCCGTGCACAGCTTGATGAGGTGCTCCCGGACCCACAGCCCGACGTCCTGCCTGCCGTCCGGGTAGGTCTCCACGCCTGGCCCAAACCGTTGGTCCGCTTTGTACAGCCCCTGCGAAACGAAAGTCACCAGGGCAAGAGACGTCGTTCAGCAGGGCCCTAAGCTTTGCAACCGTTTTCTCAAAATCAAAGAAAAACAAAATTCCAGGAGAAACGTCTTCATTCAGTCAACAAATACTCACGGAGGCCGAGTATGCACCCGGCGTGGTGTTCCAGAGCAAACGTGTAAATATGGAATGCATTGGGGGAGAAAGGTGCTTCGGACCCGGGGTGGTCAGCAGTGGCCTTACCGGTAAGGTGGGGACATCACCGGGAGTCTCAAGGCGGAAGCGTGTCAGGGATACCGCGTGTGGGCTCATTTCAGGGAACCCCTTGTAGCAGTGACATTGTGGGCCCAGCCCAGCCACCCGGGGCAGCGGAGATGCGGGGCCCTGGGTCAGAGAGACTCTGGCAGGTGTGACCTGAGGAGACAGGCGGAGGGAGGGGGGAAAGGGAGCTAACCCCCCCGCTTCCCATGAACCCAGCAGAGTGCAGTGATTTCTGGGCCTCTCGAGGCCCTTCCGCTGGGTGGGGCGGTCTGTGCTGGGTGGGGGATGTGTGGCGAGGGGAGGGCCAAGAGGGCCTTGGATGAAAGGTAATGCTGGGCCCACAAAAAGGGACGGGAAGCTCGGAGAGGGGCCCGGCTTCCCAGGAGAGCTGGCTCTGAAGGGCATCTGGAGGTCACTGGGAGCCGCAGCGGGGACCTCCGTGTCACTCCCTGGTGCCACGCCCTCGCCTGGGACCCTGGGACCGGGCCTCTATCTCAGAGCCCCGGGCTTGCAGACTTACTTGGGGTGTAAATCTCTGAGCTACACAGTCCCCCACAAGAAGTTCACAGTCTAGAGCAGAGGAAAGAACATGAAAGGAACAGTAAGACACGCCACGGAGGACTTCATCGTGCAAAGCAGCTGGGTGGGGACGGCAGAGGCACTTCCGGGAGAATCTGCCGAGTGGCAGCAGGGCACCGGGTGCCGCCGCGGTCTGTGAAAGGGTCGAGGGTCGGGGGCCGGGGGGAGGCGATGCGCATTCATCCTGGCAGCGCCGGAGCGTCACCGAGGCGGCGGACGCCACAGGATGGATGGGCCGAGAAGGAAGACTGCGGACGGGGCAAGGAAAGGGGGTGCAGGGAGGCAGGCGGTCGGAAAGGCAGCTGCTGGGGGTCTGTGCGGAGACCAAAGGTGTTCATGCCCCAAGAGCTGACCCAAGAGCTCCATTTCTAGGATGCTATCATAAGGACATAATCTCCTTAACATCGTAAGGAAACAATCCCAACATGATCAAAGCTATAGTCACACATACGTTCACAACAGTACGTCTAGCAGCTAGCTCTTAATAACGCTAACGGTTACGTTACTAGTAAAATATAATGGCAGTAATGTCGACGGTTAAAGAAAGGAGAATGTGTCTCCAGGACGCTACACGCCACAGGCTTAAAAAATTGCCTTTGATATCATTTACTTTGTGACCAAACAATCCCCCTCTAGGAACGTATCCCAAAGATCACCGACAAAAGCGTGGAACCATTAACCGGCGAGACCGTCACCAGGGCGCCCCTCGGCACCACAAAGGCCGGAGGAAAGTGCATGCGTGGTTGGCCCTTCCTGAGCAGCGAGGAGGGGGTCTGGGCTGTCGGGAGGAAGGGCAACCACAGGCGGCCCAGGGAAGCGTGCAGGGTGCACGTCCCACTGCCTATGCGGGGAGGAACGTGTGTGCACGTGTGCTCCTGGTGTGTAAATGCAAAGAGGAAGCTGTACAAACAATCCCCGGTGACGAGAGAGAACTCCGGATAGAAACCGTGGAATTTGGACTCCTGTGGGGGGACCCTGTTTGCTAGATTTGCCTTCAGAAAAATATCCGTTTTTTACTGAATTACCAAACTAAATTAAAGCAAGACGGTAAAAATCAAATCCTAAACAATGAAAGCAACACAAGTGAACCTAGCTCTACCTCCAGGCAGCACGGACGGACAGTAGCTCACGTGATTGGATTCCACCTTCCCAGTGGGATGGGTCCCAGGGACAAAAGGCAGGAAAGGAGCCCTGAATTGTTTTAGGAGCCACGGCGCTGGAGCTAATGCTATGCCGTCATTCTGAAACTGTCATACATATTTCACGGGGGGAAATAAATCGGAAATTTGCTAACGTTAGAAACAAAGATTTTGAAGACTAATTGGAAAGACGTGCAAATACGACACCATGGCTGTTGAGTAAAAAGCCCCGTACTCCCAAACTGGAGCTGGAAACTTCCGTATGAACTGACGGTGTCTTTTCTCATTTAGAGAGAAAAAAAAAAAAAATCTAGATCTGCTACTGAAAAAGCCTACAAATGAAAACCAGCCAACACCCAAATAAGTACCCAAACGGTGGTTTCTCCACACTGTGCCCCATCTAGGAACCAGGCCAGATCAACAGTCAATCCTGGGACCAGGGCAGGAAGTGTATGGATGAGCTGGGGTCTCCTTGCCCCAACAAAAGGCAAGAAAACCACCAGCACCTGGTGGAGCTATGCCTACGTCAAGAACCAAACTAAAGCAAAAACCAAACTCCCCTGACCAAAGAATGACAATTTGGGCATCCAAAAGCGTAACAACCACAATGTACTGAGATACACCAAAGAGACTAAAATCCGTGAGTTTCTACAGATCCGAGAAACAAACAAACAAAAAAAACCCGAGTAAGCTCCACCGATCACCATTGAAGAGTGTTAGGTAGTCATCCACTTATTACCCTGACGAGGGGCAAAAAAGGAAAAAATCAAGTGTCATTTCGCCTTCCCCATAAAACTACCTCAAAGTAACCAAACGGTTGATGAAGGCTGTCGTAGACAAAAGAACTCTAGTTAATAAATGAAGGAGGGATCGTAGATTTAGAGTGTCACCAACTTGCGCCCTCTAATGAAATGACGGTCCGGCGATATTGTCCAAAATCGGTCCAGCGATATTGTCCAAAATCACAACAAGTAAGGTGAGGAGGCCGTCGGAACCGACGGAAAAGGACTGAAGACACCGGCACCCACGGATCAGTCCCGACATCACATGAAGAAAGGCGGCCAGACACGTGTCTCCGAGTGTGGTTTTTAACAAAGGTACGAAAGCAGCAGTAGAGAAATGACAGTCTTCTCGACCGATGGCACCGGATCAGCCGGCCGCCTACAGGTGGAGGCGGGGGAGGGGAGGAGGCCCAGCCAACCGCTGCTTCACGTGCAGTGCAAACATTAACTCAGAACGGATCCCAGACCTAAATGTCAGAGCCAAAACCATGACATGCAGAAGAGAACACAGACTAAAATCTTAGGAAACTTGGATTAAGCTAAAATTGCGTAACTAGGACATAAAAAAGCAAGAACCAGGGAAAGAAAAATCGATAAGCCTACGAGTGGCTAAAATTAATTTTTTTTTCAACGTTTTTTATTTATTTTTGGGACAGAGAGAGACAGAGCATGAACGGGGGAGGGGTAGAGAGAGAGGGAGACACAGAATCGGAAACAGGCTCCAGGCTCTGAGCCATCAGCCCAGAGCCCGACGCGGGGCTCGAACTCACGGACCGCGAGATCGTGACCTGGCTGAAGTCAGACGCTTAACCGACTGCGCCACCCAGGCGCCCCTAAAATTAATTTTTTTAATGTTTATTTATTCTTGAGAGACAGAGATACAGCATGAGCAGAGGGGCAGAAAGAGAGGGAGACAATACAAATCAGGCTTCAGACTGAGCTGTCAGCACAGCCCCGATGTGGGGCTCGAACCCACAAACCAAGAGATCATGACCTGAGCTGAAGTCAGCTGCTTACCTGACTGAGCTGCCCAGGCGCCCCACGAGTGGCTGAAATGAAAATAATAGACAACGCCAAGTGCTGACAAAGGTGTGGAGCAACTACTACCTTTGTATTTGGTGGCTGAAATGGAAAACAGCACAACCACTTTGGAAAACCCTTCGGAGGTTTCTTATGAAACTTGCCATACACGTCACCTACAGCCAGCGATCCTGCTCGCAGTATTTACCCAAATGAAAAGACAGACGTGTGTGCACGTGAAGACTTGGAATCAAACGTTTTTAGCAGTTTTACTCAAAATAACCAAAAACTTGAAAGAACTCAAACGTGTAGCTATTGGCGAATCAGTAAAACACGTGTCTTGAATCCACACAACGGAATACTAGCTCCCCGCAAAAGAAACAAATTGCTGCCATATGCAAATACGTACGAATCTCAAAAGAATCACGCCCTAAGCCAGAGAAATCGAACACGCAGGAACACCCATTCCACTGATCTGAAACAACGGAAAAGGGGACGTTGTGATGAAAAGCAGAGCAGCGTCACCGAGAGCTGAGGGGGTGGGGCTGGAGATGGCGTCCAGTATACATTAGGGGCTCGGACGGGGTACAATGCTTGCACACGAACACGCACACAAAACACCATATATAAATGTTTACAGCAGCTTGATTCATAATCAACAAAAGCTGGAAACGAGCGTCTGTCAGCTGGGAATGGAGAACGGCGCCGTGCACTCGGAACAGTGCTCCGCGCTAAGGAAGGAGCTGCGGACTCACCACAAGGCAGATGAATCTTCAATACGATCGCTAAGTGAAAGGCACCAGCCTCAAAAGTCTACCTACTGTATTTCACTAGCCTGGTATTCTTGCAAAGGCAAATCATCTGCAAAGCAACTGGCCAGGGCTGGGGTGGGAGGAGAGACCGGTCCCAAAGGGGCACCAGCAGGAGCGGAGAAGGAGCCGTCCTGTACATTGAAGGCGGTAGTAGTCACATAACTCCACGCTCGTGAAAACCTTCACAACTGCACACTCAAGGGGGTGGACTGTACCCTAAGTTACGCCGTCCGGAAATAAAAGGAGGAAAGGCAACTGTTTCTGCAAAACCAGGAATGTCCTCCACAAATAAAGACAAGCTTCAAGGGGCGCCTGGGTGGCTCAGTCAGTTGAGCGGCCGACTTCGGCTCAGGTCCTGATCTCACAGCTCGTGAGTTCAAGCCCCACGTCCGGCTCTGTGGTGACAGCTCAGAGCCTGGAGCCTGCTTCGGAATTTGTGTCTCCCTCTCTCTCTGACCCTCCCTCGTTCATGCCCTGTCTCTCTCAGTCTCAAAAATAAATAAACATTAAAAACAAATTTTTTTTTTTTTAAAGACAAGCTTCAAGACAACCTATG